AGTAATACCATGCTCACAGCAAACAGGAAGTCAATTAAGAGACTCCTGCTGCTATAAAGCTCTGTTTTTTCACATGCACATGATAATCGTGTGTGTGTGTGTGTGTGTGTTTCAGCATGTCCTTCATGTCAGACTTTGAGATCATGTTGGCACGTAAGAAAGCTCAGAGCGGCAAACGCAGACGCAATCGAGACGGAGGGACGTTCATCAGTGACGCCGATGATGTTGTGAGCGCCATGATCACCAAAATGACAGAAGCTGCAGAGGTGTGTGTGTGTGTGAGAGAGTCTGGGTTATATATAGCTGAACGTCTACAGCGTCTGTGACATGCTGCTGATTTATGTGGAGCTCGGTTACACTACCGTTCAAAAGTTTAGGGGCAGAAATTAATACTTTTATTCATCAAGGACGCATTAAACTGATCAAAAGTGACAGTAAAGACATTTATAATGTTACAAAAGATTTCGATTCCAAATAAAAGCTTTCTGTTCATCTGTGAATCCTGAAAAATAAAATGAATCTCAGTTTCCACAAAAATATTGAACTGTTTTCAACATTGCTAATAATCAGACATGTTTCTCGAGCAGCAAATCAGCATATTAGAATGATTTCTGAAGATCATGTGACACTGAAGACTGGAGTAATGATGCTGAAAATACAGCTGCGCATCACAGAAATACATTACATTTTACAATATTTTCACAGAATTTTGTATTTTTGATCAAATTAATGCAGCCTTGATGAGCAGAAGTATAAGCGTCTGTGACATGCTGCTGATTTATGTGGAGCTCGGTTACACTACCGTTCAAAAGTTTAGGGGCAGAAATTAATACTTTTATTCATCAAGGACGCATTAAACTGATCAAAAGTGACAGTAAAGACATTTATAATGTTACAAAAGATTTCGATTCCAAATAAAAGCTTTCTGTTCATCTGTGAATCCTGAAAAATAAAATGAATCTCAGTTTCCACAAAAATATTGAACTGTTTTCAACATTGATAATAATCAGAAATGTTTCTTGAGCAGCAGATCAGCATATTATACTGATTTCTGAAGATCATGTGACACTGAAGACTGGAGTAATGATGCTGAAAATACAGCTGCGCATCACAGAAATACATAACAGTTTACAATATTTTCACAGAATTTTGTATTTTTGATCAAATTAATGCAGCCTTGATGAGCAGAAGTATGATTTCTGTGATGTGGAAAACGTGGAGTAAATTTAATTTAACCCTTTAAAATGGAGTCTAGAAATATTTAAATGGATAAAGTTGCAATGTGGACTAGTGTCGGTGAATATTACACCGCAAAAAGAAAATGGGATTTAGGGGAAAAACAGGCCCTAAAAGTTACATTTTTATAAAAATTAATAAATTGAGTTGTGATGCTTTCTACTGCAATTTTAATTTAAATAATTTTAAATAAAAAAAACAAAGGGGGAATCCACATCTTTCAAAAACATTTAATGTGTGTCTGTGTGTGTGTCTCTGTGTCTGTGTCTCTGTGTCTGTGTGTGTGTGTCTCTGTGTGTGTCTGTCTGTCTGTCTGTGTCTGTCTCTGTGCGTCTGTCTGTCTCTGTGCGTGTGTCTGTCTCTGTGTGTCTGTCTGTCTGTGTCTGTCTCTGTGTGTCTGTCTGTCTATTTAAATGGATAAAGTTGCAATGTGGACTAGTGTCGGTGAATATTACACCGCAAAAAGAAAATGGGATTTAGGGGAAAAACAGGCCCTAAAAGTTACATTTTTGTAAAAATTAATAAATTGAGTTGTGATGCTTTCTACTGCAATTTTAATTTAAATAATTTTAAATAAAAAAAACAAAGGGGGAATCCACATCTTTCAAAAACATTTAATGTGTGTCTGTGTCTCTGTGTCTGTGTCTCTGTGTGTGTGTCTCTGTGTGTGTGTCTGTCTGTCTGTGTCTGTCTCTGTGTGTCTGTCTCTGTGTGTCTGTCTGTCTCTGTCTGTGTCTGTCTCTGTGTGTCTGTCTCTGTGTGTGTGTCTGTCTGTGTCTGTCTGTCTGTGTCTTTGTCTGTCTGTCTGTCTGTGTCTGTCTGTGTGTGTGTGTGTGTGTGTTTTTGTGTGTGTGTGTTTCAGGAGGACCGGACTCTGAACAGTCAGAAGAAACCGGCTCTGAAGAAGCTCATGCTGCTGCCCACAGTGGTGATGCATTTAAAGAAGTGAGTGTTTCCTCTTCCTGTGGAGGGAGCAGCACAAGTGTGTTCACCTCGCTGTAGTTTCAGGACAAAAGCAAACTGATTTTTGATTGGTTTAAATGTGTGTGTGCAGGCAGGATCTGAAGGACACGTTCATAGACAGCGGTGTGATGCTGGCTATAAAGGAATGGATCAGTCCTCTCCCGGATAAGAGTCTCCCAGCGCTCAAGATACGAGAGGAGCTCCTCAAGATCCTGCAGGAAGTGAGTCCGCGGCTTCTTAAAGAATGTTAAAAAAATATATTTTTATTATTGCATTCTATGATTGTCTGTTGAGGTAGAGATATATTGTAATCTTCTACTTGTACTTTTATTATTTTTCCAGTATTATTATTCTACTATTTTATTTAGGCCTGAATGTTTTTTTTTTATATTTGTATTACATTCTATGGTTGTATATATATTTTTAGGGGCTATATTTTTCTTTTTCTTTATTTATTGTATATTTTTAATAAAACAAATTGATTACATGATTTTTATTACATTCTGAGTTTGTGTATTGAGCTTGGGGATGTAGTTTTATTTATTTATTTTTTACGACTTTGAATGGTTTATTATTATTTAGATTTGTATTTGTTCATGTTTTTATATTTTTTATTATTATTGAGCAAGGGAATGTAGTTTTATTTATTTACTATTTTAAGTAGTTTATTATTTAGATTTTTATTTATTTATTTTTAATTAGATTTTTACATTATTACATTCTGTGTTTGGATTATTATTATTACTTTTATTTTTACTAATTAGTATTGCCTTATTAGTATTATTATCATTACTAATATTGTTTTATTATTATTATTATTATTATTATTGTTAATAATTAGTTTAATTTATTTGATTTTTCATATTTATAATTTTTTGTGATTGTCCGAGTCAGAGGATATATTTTTTTTAATTTATTTTACTTTTAATGTTTATTATTGTTTTTTATTTAAATGTTTTTTTTTTTAAATATATTTTTACTACATTCTGTGTTGTGTGAGTTAGGGGATATACTTTTATGTACATTATTATTATTATTTTTAATCTGTGTTTTTTTTTCTATTACATTCTATGATGATGATGATTAGCGTTATTTCATTTTTTTAACTCATTTGTTTGTTCTCAGCTGCCCAGCGTGAGTCAGGAGACACTGAAGCTCAGTGGCATCGGTCGAGCCGTCATGTACCTCTACAAACACCCAAAAGAGTCTCGCCCGAACAAAGACCTCGCGCTCAAACTCATCAGTACGAACACTTTGGCTTTACCATATCTGAATCTGTCTGAGTGTGTGTTCCTGCAGTGATTTGTGTGTTTTGTGCAGATATGCAAATGTGACGCCGACGCATCCATCATAAATTCATCATAAGTCGCAGTGCATTAGCGTTTATCTGAGGATAGTGTAAGATGGATTCAACAGATCACGCACACCTGCAGCTCTTGTGATTGCAGAAAACAGAATAAAACTATAGGCTTACAGAAAAAGGAATAGCTTACATTGGCCTACACACGAAGTATATTTCACTTAAATCATTGACAGATTAACAAAACGAAAGAAAGAAAATGTGCTGAGTTTTGGTTTATTGTGACGCGATCCAAAGTTCACGGAAAGGAAAACGAGACGGCAGAAAATAGTTTTCTTTATTTTGCAAAAAGCTTTCCAGTTTTATTTATTTTCCAGTTTTTGATTGATGTTTAGCTTCTGTCTGTATAACCAACCAGTGATGCTGATGCGAGTGAAGGACAAAGCCTATTACATAATAAATAATATTTTAGCATCCAGATACGTCGCGAATATAGAAACATTTGGTTGCGTACCAATCGAGGTAGGCGTCAGTTTCACCTTAAATTAATTAGTTTTTAGATTGACAGTAGTTTATTATTTAGATTTTTATTTATTTATTTTTAATTAGATTTTTACATTATTACATTCTGTGTTTGGATTATTATTATTACTTTTATTTTTACTAATTAGTATTGCCTTATTAGTATTATTATCATTACTAATATTGTTTTATTATTATTATTATTATTATTATTGTTAATAATTAGTTTAATTTATTTGATTTTTCATATTTATAATTTTTTGTGATTGTCCGAGTCCGAATATTTTTTTAAATTTATTTTACTTTTAATATTTATTATTGTTTTTTATTTAAATGTTTTTTTTTTTAAATATATTTTTACTACATTCTGTGTTGTGTGAGTTAGGGGATATACTTTTATGTACATTATTATTATTATTTTTAATCTGTGTTTTTTTTTCTATTACATTCTATGATGATGATGATTAGCGTTATTTCATTTTTTTAACTCATTTGTTTGTTCTCAGCTGCCCAGCGTGAGTCAGGAGACACTGAAGCTCAGTGGCATCGGTCGAGCCGTCATGTACCTCTACAAACACCCAAAAGAGTCTCGCCCGAACAAAGACCTCGCGCTCAAACTCATCAGTACGAACACTTTGGCTTTACCATATCTGAATCTGTCTGAGTGTGTGTTCCTGCAGTGATTTGTGTGTTTTGTGCAGATATGCAAATGTGACGCCGACGCATCCATCATAAATTCATCATAAGTCGCAGTGCATTAGCGTTTATCTGAGGATAGTGTAAGATGGATTCAACAGATCACGCACACCTGCAGCTCTTGTGATTGCAGAAAACAGAATAAAACTATAGGCTTACAGAAAAAGGAATAGCTTACATTGGCCTACACACGAAGTATATTTCACTTAAATCATTGACAGATTAACAAAACGAAAGAAAGAAAATGTGCTGAGTTTTGGTTTATTGTGACGCGATCCAAAGTTCACGGAAAGGAAAACGAGACGGCAGAAAATAGTTTTCTTTATTTTGCAAAAAGCTTTCCAGTTTTATTTATTTTCCAGTTTTTGATTGATGTTTAGCTTCTGTCTGTATAACCAACCAGTGATGCCGATGCGAGTGAAGGACAAAGCCTATTACATAATAAATAATATTTTAGCATCCAGATACGTCGCGAATATAGAAACATTTGGTTGCGTACCAATCGAGGTAGGCGTCAGTTTCACCTTAAATTAATTAGTTTTTAGATTTACATTTTTATAGCCTAAATGCATAGCCTTAACTTTAGAGGATTTGTTGTGGAGAGAAGGAAACTAATAATTGTCTTTTATCATAGATCGTATGTGTGTGTGTATATATATATATATATATATATGAAGTGTTTATAATGTTTGTAAACATTTTGCTTTACCGGCATTTTAGCACATTATTTCTGAATGTAGCCTAATAATAAAATGCGCCGTATGTTGTATTTAAAAAAAAAAAAAAAAATTTCTCCTCTCAAAACGCAATTTTATGAGTAGCATTTTTTTAACAATGCAGCAAACATTTTTAAATATCTTAAAAAATACTTTAATGTCTTTAAAGCTTTAACAGATTTTTTCTTTTGTTTAGTAGCCTATAATTTGGCTAAAATCTAGAAAGCGAGTTAAGATACAAGATCTCTTCCTGTTTTGTTTTTTTTCTTTTTTAAGTAGAAAATGCTATACTTATTATTATTATTAGACTGTTGTTATTATTGTTATTACTACTATTATTATTATTATTATTATAGGCAAAGAAAAAGTTTTTAAAATAATTTTATTAACTGTGTTTTTCTAGGCAAACTGTTTTCGGAAAGATAATTCAGAGGAACGTAGGAACGGAAACGTTAAAATATCGATTCTGCTTGGAGTGAACAGATTGGATTTTTTTTTTTCGTTTTCAAGCCCTGGTTTTGTGTGTGTTGTGTGTGTGCAGACGAGTGGTCACGGCCCATCTTTGGTTTATCAATTACATAATAAATAATATTTTAGCATCCAGATACGTCGCGAATATAGAAACATTTGGTTGCGTACCAATCGAGGTAGGCGTCAGTTTCACCTTAAATTAATTAGTTTTTAGATTTACATTTTTATAGCCTAAATGCATAGCCTTAACTTTAGAGGATTTGTTGTGGAGAGAAGGAAACTAATAATTGTCTTTTATCATAGATCGTATGTGTCAGACACGCTCGCAGACACAAGACACGCACGCGCTCACACAGACTCGCACACACAGACACTCACTCACAGACACCCTCACAGACTCACACACAGACACAGACACAGGCAGACTCCCCAGGTCACACGCACAGACACACACACACACACACACAGACAGACGCACACGCGCACTCACAGACACGCGCTCAGACACGCTTGCAGACACAGACACGCACGCGCTCACACAGACTCGCGCACACACAGACACACACTCACAGACACACTCACAGACTCACACACAGACACAGACACAGACAGACTCAGCACATTATTTCTGAATGTAGCCTAATAATAAAATGCGCCGTATGTTGTATTTAAAAAAAAAAAAAAAAATTTCTCCTCTCAAAACGCAATTTTATGAGTAGCATTTTTTTAACAATGCAGCAAACATTTTTAAATATCTTAAAAAATACTTTAATGTCTTTAAAGCTTTAACAGATTTTTTCTTTTGTTTAGTAGCCTATAATTTGGCTAAAATCTAGAAAGCGAGTTAAGATACAAGATCTCTTCCTGTTTTGTTTTTTTTCTTTTTTAAGTAGAAAATGCTATACTTATTATTATTATTAGACTGTTGTTATTATTGTTATTACTACTATTATTATTATTATTATTATAGGCAAAGAAAAAGTTTTTAAAATAATTTTATTAACTGTGTTTTTCTAGGCAAACTGTTTTCGGAAAGATAATTCAGAGGAACGTAGGAACGGAAACGTTAAAATATCGATTCTGCTTGGAGTCCGCGCTCACACGCGCACACAGACTCAGACACGCACGCGCTCACACACACACGCGCACACACAGACACACTCACACAGACACACTCACAGACTCACACACACACACTCACAGACAGACACACACTCACAGATGCACACGCGCACTCACAGACACGCTCGCAGACACGCTCACACAGACTCGCTCGCAGACACGCTCACACAGACTCACACACACTCACAGACTCACACACACAGACACAGACACAGACAGACTCACACACACACACTCACAGACAGACAGACACACACACACACACAGACAGACGCACACGCGCACTCACAGACACGCGCTCAGACACGCTCGCAGACACAAGACACGCACGCGCTCACACAGACTCGCACACACAGACACGCACTCACAGACACACTCACAGACTCACACATTAAAAAATACTTTAATGTCTTTAAAGCTTTAACAGATTTTTTCTTTTGTTTAGTAGCCTATAATTTGGCTAAAATCTAGAAAGCGAGTTAAGATACAAGATCTCTTCCTGTTTTGTTTTTTTTCTTTTTTGAGTAGAAAATGCTATACTTTATTATTATTATTATTAGACTGTTGTTATTATTGTTATTACTACTATTATTATTATTATTATTATAGGCAAAGAAAAAGTTTTTAAAATAATTTTATTAACTGTGTTTTTCTAGGCAAACTGTTTTCGGAAAGATAATTCAGAGGAACGTAGGAACGGAAACGTTAAAATATCGATTCTGCTTGGAGTGAACAGATTGGATTTTTTTTTTTCGTTTTCAAGCCCTGGTTTTGTGTGTGTGTGTGTGTGTGTGTGTGCAGACGAGTGGTCACGGCCCATCTTTGGTTTATCGTCCAACTACAAGGGAATGACGAGAGAAGAGAGAGAGCAGAGAGACCTGGACCAGCAGATCGCCCCGCGCAGACGCCTCAGGTAACACACTCTCACACACACACACACACTCACAGACAGACACACACTCACACACACACACACACTCACAGACAGACACACACACGCACACGTGCACTCACAGACGCACATGCGCACTCACAGACACGCGCTCAGACACGCTCGCAGACACACAGACACGCACTCACAGACACACAGACAGACTCACACACACACACTCACAGACAGACACACTCACAGACTCACACACACACACTCACAGACAGACACACACTCACAGATGCACACGCGCACTCACAGACACGCTCGCAGACACGCTCACACAGACTCGCTCGCAGACACGCTCACAGACTCACACACACTCACAGACTCACACACACAGACACAGACAGACTCACACACACACACACACTCACAGACGCACACGCGCACTCACAGACATGCGCTCAGACACGCTCACAGACACGCACGCGCTCACACAGACACGCACTCACAGACACACACACACGCCTGTCAATCATCTGTCACTCCTCACTGTCATTCTGTCCCTCCTTCCTCTTCCTGTGGTGTGTGTAAGTGAGCCTCAGACGTCTGAGAGACGGGAAGAGCCAGACGTCTTTACCCCGGCGCTCAGGTTCTGTGTGTGTGTGTGTGTGTGTGTTTAAGCATGAACCTTCTCGACCGTCTCAAGATCAGTAATGTTTCTAACACTGATGTGTGTGTGTGTGAGAGAAAGATCGAAACAATCTATTCTATTCTATTCTTTTCTGTTTTATTGTTGTATTTAATCAGATTCTCTTAGATCATGTGATCTCGGTTCATATTTCATACAGTTAGAATCAGGGCTGCGTGATTAATTGAAAAACTATAATTGTGATTTATGAGTAGTAAATAATAAATAATTTTGCTTGGAAAAAGAAAATAATAAATATTATATCCATAAATATTTGTATTACAACAAATAAAACAATAATAATAATAATTATTATTATTATTAAATAGTAGATTTTTCTGTGAAGTTGAAATATTTTATTCTAATATTTTTATTTTATAATAATAAATCTTATTATAGCAACAACAATAATAATTATATTTTCTATAATGTTTAAAATAGATATTATTATTGTCATAAATATATTGTCATTATATATTTTAGTGTAAATAAAATAATAGTAATTGTTGGTTGTTATCTTTAATACCAGATTTTGTGAAATGCTGCAATATTTTAATATTTGTATTTAATATTATTATTAATTTATCTTAATTTTTATTTATCTTAAATTCTAGTTTTTTCCTATGTAATGGTGTAACTTTTTTTGTTTAATTATATAATAACAATGATAAAATTATATATATTTTTTTTTCTCAGTACAACTCTAAAATTACATTATTATTATTATTATAAAATTGTTTAAACCTACAAATAAGCACAGCAAACTTGGAGTTTTTGTTTTTGCTTTTAAAAAATTCACATTTTAAGTCTCAATTAAATTATCCGAAAAATTGCTATTACATTTTTTTTTTTTTTCTCCAAATTGTGCGTCTGGATCAGATTCTATTCAGCCGGATTGAGTTTGGTTCGGTTACGTGATTCAGTCAGTGTACTATCAGATTCTGCTGTAGTTGATCCGTCTGTTGGGTATGATTCAGCTGAATCCGATTCTTCTGATGCCGTTCCGTTTGGCCAGATTCTTTCCTCTGGTGTGTCTTGACCTTTTAACCCCAAACTCACCCTCTCCAGCACCACATTTTCATTCATTCTCATCTTAAGTTTGTTAAACACTGAAAGCCTACGAGTCTCTGCATCGTGTGTGTGTGTGTGTGTGTGTGTGTGTGTGTGTGTGTGTGT